CACCCCCATTTTATTTCCATTTTCCAGGCAAGGGGACTGAAGCATGCTGGTGTCCGGTCGCCAGCCCCGAGGGGCGGAGCTGAGCGGCTGGGAAAGAGGTCTGCCATCCAGAAAGCCTGCGGCTCTCGCTCCCTGAACGGCTGAAATCAGCTCCACACCCAGGACTCTGCAAGTCCACTGTCCTCAGTGTGCCTGGAAACCAACTCTGAAATGCATACAGCTGGGGGCTGAGTCTTCCAGGTTCGCTTTGCTTTGCAAAGCAAGTCCATCCTCTGCAAGCCCACAGGGCAGCCTTCGGAGTTCCTTCCTCTCCCGCACTGTGACACTGTGACACTGGCTTCAGTCCTGCTGCCTGTCAGGCCTTGTCTGATGGGCTGCTGTCACCAGGCCATCCACCATGATCAACCCAAACATCCTCGCTTCGCAGTGAAATTCTGGTGAGTGCAGAGATCGACTCTGACATCTTTTGGCAAGAGAGAACCTTCAGGGACGGGACAGGCATGAGATTGTCTCTGGCCTCATTTCAGCTGCTCCTCGACAGTGCTCCTGGGCCCTCTGGGAGTTGGGAACCACCAGGCACCAGATGCCCCTTGGGGCATTTCAGGGGTTAAGAGTGGGCAGCTGGTTGAAAGCAGGGCCTCTTCCATGCTTCTGTTCTAGAACAAGGGTTAGCAACACCTCTCCGCAAACCACAGCTTCTAGGGAACTCAGTACACCAGCACGTGAGGGAGAGCTGCCCTGACCCCTTCTCTCGCAATGCCGCGTGGCCCCTGCTAATGCCCTTGGAAGGCAGGCCTGAAACCCAAGACGAGGAAGCAACGCTGAGTGGAGAGTGTAGCGTAGACAGCGACCCGCGGTCCCTGCAGAGGACTGACAGCAGGTCACCTGACTTCTGTGCGCCTCTCTTCCCTCCTCTTCCTCATTCGCAACTGGGTGTACCGACCTCACTCCCGTGCTAAACCCTGTGAGGATCGGCTCGGCGCATCTTCCCTGCATTTGCTCTAGATTTCTCCGGTGGGGAAAGAAGTGCACTTGGACAAGATGACCAGGACCCAAGGCGTACGAGCCATTGCCAAAAGCTGACCTCCAAAAGCCAGGAAGGAGTGGTGGTAGGCAGGCTGTGGGCCCCACTGCACCGTCACCGTCTGCCAGGCCTCACCAAGAAGCCACGTGGAGTGGCCGAGAAAGCCCAGGCTAGAGAGATTTAACACTGGTTTCGGTATTCCCTGTCATCCGAGCCTGGGTCCAGAGTATTTGAATTGGAAGTTCACAAACTACAGGAAGAAAATAAACAACATTTGAGACTAAGAATAATAACTCCCTGGTGTTGACTGCAAAGGGGCGGTCAGGTTGTAAATGCTGCATCCAGTCCCCAGCGCGCCTGTGGCCACACAGCTATATACACCTGTCACAAGTCAGCAGGCTTCACTTCTCAAATGGGTGAATTTCACTTTCTGTAAAGTAAATGTCAAGGCGTCAGACTTTTAAAAGCGTCAGCATTGTGCTCTACCACATTCTGGATTCACGCATAATTCTCTCCAGAGACATCCCCTCGAAAGGTTGCGTGATCAACTGGTAACGACCGCCACCAGGGACATGGAGATGGGCAGACACAATGGAAGGAAGGCTTACTTCCCAATGCACCCTGTTTTGTAGCATTGGACTATTTTACAGTGTGCATAGATCATCTGTTTAGAAAGACAGGCACAGGTCGGGAGACAGAGAGAAAAAGAAGGAAGTAAAAAGAGGGAAGAGAGGGAGGGGAGACGGAAGGAAGGGAGGGAGGGAAGGAAAGAAGGGGGGGAGGGAAGGAGGGAGGGAGAGAGCGGAGGAGGAGGAGAAGCAGGCAGGCAGGCTGACTGGCCTGCCTCCCAACTGGTGCCATACACAGCCCATTACAAATCTGAGTTCTATCACCACCTAATTGCTTGATCCCAGATGAAGAGAAGGGATGTTCATAGCAGGTGCCCCTGGGGTGGCCAGTGGATGACATGAGGTCATGGCCAGGAAGGTGTGGACAGCGCTGCACACAGCAGTTGGTTTACTCTGAGCATCAGCTCTCACTGACAGTGGCCCTGATCGTGAAGAGCTGCACTTCCAAAGCACACGTGGGGCTCAACTTTGCTTCCTTAACACACTGAAGACAAGCAGAAGGTGTGAGTGGCTGCCATCCCTGGCGTGGCTGCAGATTGGAAACCTGGCAGGGAGAACAGAGTGCTGTCCTAAGAACAACACAATAGGGGCTGGCACTGTGGCCTAACGGGTAAAGCCACTACATGCAGTGCCGGCATCCCACATGGACGCCAGTTTGAGACCCAGCTGCTCCACTTCCAATCCAGCTCTCTGCCATGGCCTGGGAAAGCAGTGGAAGATGGCCCAAGTCCTTGAGCCCTTATACCCACATGGGAGACCCGGAAGAAACTCCTGGCTCCAGGCTTTGAATCGGCACAGCTCCAGCTGTTGCAGCCATCTGGGGAGTGAACCAGCGGATCGGATCGAAGAATTCTTTCTCTCTCTCTCTCTCTCTCTCTCTCTGCCTCTGCCTCTCTGTAACTCTGCCTTTTAAATAAATAAATAAATAAATAGTGCAAGCACACTCTAACTCCCCATCTTCAGGTCTGCTACCTGGTTTGACTTGGAGTGGGGAAACCAAGACTGCTTTAGGAGACTTCATTTCTTGGTATAAAAAAAGAGGTGGTGGCAGTAGGAGGAAAAATGGAACCCAAAATGTTGCACCTAAAACGTGCTGTTTCCTGTGGGGGGGGGGAGATTCCACTGCAGAGCAGAGAGAGGTTCAAATGGCAAACGCCCCCCCTCCCACCCACTGCAGGACACTCCAGAAGTTTCCGGAATCACCCAGACACCTGAGTCACTGGCTGTGTGGGGTTTCCCGAGTTATAATGAGAAATGCCAGTGTGCTGATGACTCTGCCTAAGAAGGAAGGAAATATTCGTCCGCTAATGAATAAGAGGAAAAATGTGAATGGACGCCCACGGTTGTCACCTGAGTTGAAACACGCAAAAACCGGAGTCAGGAAAGTGTCAGTAGATAAAGAAACATCACACTTGCAGACCACTTATCAACACGTGTCCTTGGGGTGAAATACATTCTTCTACTGCGGACAATCCAGTAGACAGATGGACAGCACGTTGTATACCCGGCTGCACACGTGCCCGGGCCTTCTTTTGGGAGGTGAACTACTAGATAAAGTTGACAAGTCACCCCAGGAGAGCAAGGGTCACCATTCTTCAGCATGACTTTATCTAGTCACATCTTCAAGTCACACAAGTCACACAGGGAATATCAAAGAAATAGGATGCTTACAGGACGAGGGGGTAGGAAGGAGGAGGGATTTTGCAAAGTTGTGCCGAAAGAGGAGGCACACCTGCTTTCAACGCCCTGAGAAGCTGCATGGGTGGGGAGCTGGGCAGGGGGAGACAATGCCAGCAGCAGGTGACGGACACAGGAAAAGAGAGCGTCAGATGTGTCGGCTGCTGCGTGCCACACACGGAACACGGGAACACCCCACTCACTCAGTGGCAACACGTGCAGGAACAAGGCCGGCGTGCAAACACGGTCCTGTGTTTTGCACGGATTCTTTTCATTGAATCAGACCTATTTCAGTCTAACTTTCCCCACTCTGAATCTACATGCCTAAAAGCAAGGCGACATCGTTTTGGCGAAGTTAAAAGACAGATTTGCCTTTAGTGTTGGAGATGGTTCGGGGGGACTCTGGCACTCATACGTCCCTTTGCAGAACAGAACAACTTGGCAGTGGTTCTCCATATTTGAAATATGCATGACGTTGGATCCAGGAATTTCACTCCTAGCCACCCACCTTGCGGAAATTCGCATAAACACAAGATTATTTTTTAAACAAACATATTCAATAAAGCACTAAGTGGAAAACCTAAATAACCCACCAGCAGGGGAATGGTTAGATTAGTCATGGAAGATAAAACATATTATTCTATTCATTACATTGTATTTATTAGGTTATTGTTATATAACTGAACGATAATTAGAAGATGTGCAGTGTATCTCTAAGTACTAGAAGGAAGTATAAAGTGGTTGAATGAAAAAGTGTTGTAAAGATATAGTATGATCAAATATTTGCATTGAAAGATGGATGGCTGAACACACGGGTTAAGGAGGGAAGAGGGAGAAGGGGAGGTGTGGGGAGAGAGACTTTGAAGGAAGGAGACAGGGAGGATGTGGGGAGAGAGACCGTGAAGGAGAGAGACACACATGCACGCAGCCAAGTGTCAACCAGGTAAGGATGAGCGGACAAGGAAATGCATTTTCCTTTTTCATTTTTACATCCTGTGCCCGTTTCAGCTTTGACAAGGGATATGCACTTGTGCGATGAAAGCCCCTGAGAAGGTTTTGCAATGGAGATGGGTGTGGTGTGCGCCCTCCTGGGAAGCCGAGTGAACGCTGAACTTCAGAGACATAGGCCACCACCTAACTTCCCCTGGCTCCACGGGGGAAACGCTGGCTCCTTATTTTCCCACTGCATTTTTTTCCTCTGTGCCCTTTAGACAGATCCTAGGAACATGGATGCAAAACCTGAGTTCATTTCAAGTCCCCCTCCAGGACCTGTTGGCGCCCCTCCAAAGGGGTGGTTTCCCAATTTGGGCAGAATCAGAACCATCTACAGGGCTTGCAATGACACCGATCACCGGGCCCTCCCCATTCCTCCAGAGCTGCTGATCCAGCGGGTCTGGGGTGGGGCCTGAGAATCTGCACTGCATTGCTAACAGGTTCCCAGGGGATGCTGATGCCTCTGCCCCGGGGGGCTGCACTTCAAGACCCACTGCTCTAGGAGAAAGGCACTGTCCGCCAAAGGCAAATGACAACACCGGCTCTGGCGAGCCAGATTTGGTGAGGGCATAACCAGCCCTGCTGCTCCATATGCCTCCTGCCACCAGGAGAATGGTGGCTGCCCCGCAGAGGGACAGCTGGCCTCCAGGCCTGCACACAGCGAGGCTGAAACTCACCCTCAGAGAAGATGATGTGGTCATTGCACTCGTCAGTGCTGCAGGAACACATGAAGAAAGTCTCCCCAAACACCTTCTTTTCTTTCATGATACACTTTGGAGAGGCAGAATCTTCCAGAAGGAATCCATGGTAGGCGAGCTTGGGGTCGTGACACACAGTCTCCAGGGTTATGTTTTCATCGTTCTTCCTCCTGGAGTGCAGAGGAGCACGGGGTTGAGGGGAGAGAGGGAGAGAACGGATGAATGAGGTCTGAGGAGGATGGAGGGGACCCTACTGTCATTTAAATAATAATAAACACTGTCATTCTCCAGGAGCAGGCTGCCCCCAGGCTCCTGCACCTGCTCTCATTTCCCTTGTCCTTGTCTCAGAACCCAGTGGGGGATAACCCTGATGGCTTTCCTGGGAGACTGTCCTGCTAGAGAAATTAAGGTCTGATTTAAAACCATTAAGGGGAGCAGCCCTGGGGCTCAGGGGCTAAGCCACCACTTGGAACACCAGCATCTAACAGTGCAGGGCTGTTTCGAGTCCTGGCTGTTGTGCTTCCAATCCAGTTTCTTGCTAATGTGCCTGGAAGGCAGCAGAAAATGGCCCGAGGCCCACCTGGGTGGGTGACCCAGATGGAGTTCCTGGCCCAGCCTTGGCTGTTGGAGGGACTTGGAGAGTGAACCAGAGGATGGAAGATCTCTCACGCTCTCTCCTGTTTCTCCCTCTCTCTGTCTCTCTGCCTTTAAAAGGCATACCTAAATAGACAAATCTTTTGAAAAATAAAATCATTAAGGAGGAAGTAATGGGAAAAAGAAGATCCTGATGTACTGGAGATAATTCCAGTCGTGCATCCTGAATGTGTGCTAAGGCTCCCTCCCTCCCCTAGTTCATCAGCAGAATCAGGGTCCTGGGGAGCTCGACTGCTCTCACAGGGCAGGCCTGGGGAGCCCTGGCAGTTCCTCTTCCGCTGTCTGCTGGGTCACAGGGCCCTGCGCATGAGGGAGAGATGCCATGTCAGCAGCTGGCTCTGCCGAGAAAATGGGCAGCATTGTCCCAGATAACGCACTGGATTTTCCCCCAACGACAGAAAGGAGCAGTGGAGGAAAACCAAAGCACGTGGGGCAGAAGTACAGGGTGTTTGTCACCTACAGGTCAGGGAAATAGTTCTGATTATTTCTGCCTGGAGTCTCCCTCCACATCACCTATTTGGGGACTAACTGAGCTGAGAGAATCTCTCACACGGCATTTCTTTGGGCCTTGGGAAATGCTCTAAGTTGGCTCCCAACGGACATTGCATTTAATGAATTGATTAATGTCCACTATTGCAACTGCAAAGACTGAAATAAAAGTCCTGCATTCTGGGAAAAGGGCGTCACCCCTCTCCCCACTTCCCACTGTTCCTTTATGAATGCGTGACCACAGATGACTGTCCCACACCAAGGTGGCTCTGACCCTCTGCAGGTCACCTTTGTAGATGCAAAACACACATGAAGTGGCAGAGGAGGAACCAAGGGGTGGGCAAATTTGCCTTTAGATGAAGTGATAGGTCCAGTGAGTTTTGCTAGTGTCACCTCCCTTAGGAAGAATTCTGAATGCATGGTCATGAGCACACGCATCTGCCAATATACACAAGTGCACAAGCCCCCTACACACACCCTGCACGAGCTCACTGCTCACAGTGAGGAAAATGGAAGGAGCTAAACACAAGCAGGAGCTAAGAAATGGCTTTCACTTGGAACAGGAGGTGGTGCACACCCAGCAAAGGGAGAGCAATGTTGACGAGGATCACCTCGGTGTTGCCTGCAAGGATGCTACGGGACAGGAGGAGCCGGAGTCGGGGTGAGGATGGAGCAGCCCAGCAGGAATGGAGTCGGGGATTCTGACACCATCACAGCCTGTGGCTGACTCCAGCAGGGGCACACGGGCCCTCGATGCCAGTTCATGCGTTCTTGAAGTAGAACTCCAGCAGGCACAAGTGGAGCAAACTTTTGCGAAGTGGGCCCTCCTTTTGCAGGCAGAGCAACAATCAGAATCCTGACTGTAGGAGGTCTTGAGGGCACTAACTGAAAGTTGACGTGATCACACAGCAAATGATGCATATTGAAATGACTATCCAATTTTAATCCCAAAGTTCCTGGGCAGGAGCTTTGCAAAATATACAGCCATGGAAGGAGTGAGGTCACCTGGCCTGTCCTTACAGTGGTGTGTAGAAGCAGGTTGCTCTCTGTTTTCCATAAGAAAAGGAAGGCTTGCTGAACCTTCAGCACTCTCATCATAAAGCATGGCGCTTCCTCCTTGCATAGCTTCTACAAGCCGGGGAAGGAACTGTGATCCAGGAAATCCAGCTGCTCTGCCATCACTGGGCAGCTCTTTCGAGTTTGCTTTCTACCTCCCGTTGCTTAAAGAAGTAAAATCAGAGAGAGCACAACTGGAAGATCGGGGTCTGGGTAAAGTCTTAACTGCTTTCTCTACTTACTCCTGAAACAGCTCACAGCCAGGAGGAGCTAGATTTGCAAAACATCACTGGACACAGTTGGTCATAGGAAGGGAAAATACAGTCGAAGACGTACAGACTTCTCTGTCCTGTGCCATTTGCTCTGAGCCATGGAAGAGGTTGTCAGTATCCATTAGAAGAAACACTGTCGTGAAATTAATCTTGATTCCAAAATACTTCCATCCCTAGCCAAAGCGGAAGTATTTTACGTGGAGTGGGTACACAACTGATAGAACTTGAATGAACCACTGACCGACTGAATGACAAGAACACTAAAGTTCATGAAGAGCACTGGGATCCACTACCATGATAAAGTCTTGCTGGTTCCACGTTGGCTATTTTTCAAGACAGCCTCCCATCTAGTGCGGGCTTCCTGGAAACAGATATGGAGGCCGTGAGGCTTCCACGCCAGGTTCCCTCTGCCCTTGAAAGGGAGTGGAGAGAGCCTCAGTAAGTGGAGGGAGACTGACCCACATGCAGCACATGCAGGCTGCAGCACAGGCCTCCCCCGACCCCCAGAAGCTCTGAAGCTGGGATGCCCCCTTACAACTGTCCCAAGGGCCAGTGCTATGGTGCAGTGGATCAAGTCGCTCCTGAGGATGCCAGCATCCTGTATTGGAGTGCTAGTTCTGGTCCCGGATACTCTGACTCTAATCCAGTCTCCTCCTAATGCAACTTGGAGGCTGCAGCTGATGATGCAAGCGCTTGGGTCCCTGCCACCTGCTTGGGAGCCACAGATAGAGTTTCTGGACTTCAGCTTCAGCCTGGCCCAGCCCTGACTATTGTGGGCTTTTGGGAAGTGAGCCAGCAGGTGGAAGATCTCTGTTTCTTTGTTGGTATGCCTTTCAAGTAGATTAAAATAAACATTTTTTAAAGACGTATTTATTTATTTGAAAGACAAAGTTACAGAGGGAAATGGAGACACAGAGAGAGAGAGAGAGAGTGTGTGTGTATCTTCCATCCAGTGGTTCACTACCCAAATGACACATCAGCCGGATCTGGGCCAGGCTGAAGTCAGGAGCTGGGAGCTTTATCTGGGTCTCCCATGTGGATACAGAAGCCCAAGGAATTGGGCCATCTTTTTTTTTTTTTTTTTTTGACAGGCAGAGTGGACAGTGAGAAAGAGAGACAGAGAGAAAGGTCTTCCTTTGCCGTTGGTTCACCCTCCAATGGCCGCCGCAGCTGGCGCACTGCGGCCGGCGCACCACGCTGATCCGAAGCCAGGAGCCAGGTGCTTCTCCTGGTCTCCCATGGGGTGCAGGGCCCAAGCACTTGGGCCATCCTCCACTGCACTCCCGGGCCACAGCAGAGAGCTGGCCTGGAAGAGGAGCAACTGGGACAGAATCCGGTGCCCCGACCGGGACTAGAACCCGGGGTGCCGGCGCCATAGGTGGAGAATTAGCCTAGTGAGCCGCGGCGTCGGCCGGGCCATCTTCTGCTGCTTTCCTAGGCACATCAACAGAGAGCTGGATAGGAAGTAGACGGGCTGGGACTTGAACTGGTGGCCATATGGGATGCATTTAATCCATTACATCCCAGCGCCGGCCCTCAAAGTAAACATTTTTAAAATGCCTCAAATTGAAGCACTGTAGCCATTAATTTGAACCCTTGCATCAGCCAGCCACAGGGTGCTGGCTGCCCATGACAGGAAGTTCCTAGAGGGACTTTGGGGTGATCCCTCGGCAGCCAACACTCCCAAGGAGTGCGTGCCTGGGTCCTGAGGGGGACTGGGAGGTAACACCCCAGCACCCCCTACCCTGCCCTTGCTCATCATCAAGGTGCCACTCCATGGAGTGTTGACCTTTGCCAAGACAGGCTAGAGCCATTCTCACCGTGCTTACTCCTGATGGCTGGCATACAGTGAAAACAAGGAGCTTCCGTCTCCCTACACACCCATGAATTCTGAGACCAGCAGAGGCTGTATTCTGGAGGAAACTGATCGATCTTCAATCATGTGGACTTGTATGATGGGTCAGAGGAGAAGATTCTGAATTAGAAGCTCCTGCTTACGCTCTCACACCACGGTGGGTAGCTACGTAGACGACCAGCAGAGGACGGGGCCACAGAAGGAAGCGTTGGAGCTGTCTAGGGCAGGGTCTCTATTCTTTCTGCTCAGGACCCAGCCCCTCCCTGAAATCCACTTGACTGTCCCAGGAAAGGAGATCTGCTTCCTGCTGGTAAACCTTGGTTGTGAAAATGTTTAAACTGAGGCTGAGCACAAGCCTTCTTATATGAGGATATTTCAAAATACATATGGAATAAGGAACCAAAGGTTTACTTTGTTGCAATTTTTAAAAAAATCTATGCATCATATTTTTCATAATGCGCATTTTCCACGAACTTTTTAAAGACCCTTGTAAATGTTGCTGCTGCTTCCTCTACCTTCAGAGTGTTGCAGAGTAAGTTAGAACATTTCCGTTTCTTTCTTTAAGATTTATTTTATGTATTTGAAAGAGTGACCCCAAAAGGGAGAGACAGAGAGACAGGGAGAGAGAGCTTTCATCTGCTGGTTCCCTCTCCAAATGCCTGCAACAGCCAGGGTGGCCCAGGCCAAAGTCAGGAGCTGGGAACTGCCTCCAAGTACTCAGTCTTCTTGTGCAGCCTCCCATAGTGCACACCGGCCTGCAGCTGGATAGGAAGCAGAGGTGGCAGTGGTGCAAGGCCCTCTGACGCGGGATGCACGCATTGCAAGTGGCGGCTTTTGTGGCTGCCCCACAAGGCGCACCCTGAGTCCCATTCTCTCCACGGAACCCATGTCCTCTCTGCGGAGCGTTCAGCTCTCTCAGCCACCCCTCTGATAGCAATGCTTTCTAAACCTATGATCCCTGAGCCCTCTTCTCTGTACACACTCTTTGCCAGAGTCCCTTCCTCGAAAGCATTGGCCAGACCTGGACAGGAATGAAACTCCAGCGGGACAGCAAGCTGCCTCGACAGGTCTTTGTTGTTAACACTCCTGTAGTTCTTAAGAAACCAGCTCATCCCTTGGTACGGATGAAAATTTGCAAAGTCTCCATATCTACCACCAAGGCTAAATGTGCACAGTCTGGAAAAAGCCTCAGGAGGCGAGAAAGTCAGGTTTGAATACTTGTTTGTCAAGGAGACATATGGACTACTCCTAAACAACCAATAGACTCAAAACATCAGCATCAAGCTTGATAGGTGTTGCATCCGTAACGAATCCCATTAACGATCACGGCTGTTCATCGCTTGCTTACACTTCTGCGTCCATAACCCGTGAATTTATCAAGCAATGCATGAGTACCAACTGCTCATGTGCGAAGATGTATGTGTACACATGGGGAAGGGGAGGAGAGAGAGAGACAGAGACAGAGACCGCAAGAGAAAAGAGACAACGCAGAACTTGGCTCAGGAGCAGAACCCTGCATAGCTCAACCGTTATGAATGACCCAACCAGGGCTTCTGAAAGAGCAGGGGGGTGTTCCTCTAATTCCCCAAGCAGCTGTCCTATGTGGCAGGTGCCCCCCAACTTTTCTTCTCCACTTCTGCCACAACACAGAAAAACAAAGCTCCTGGTGGTGCCACTAGGGGGTCCTGAGGAAGACTCAGTTAAATGGCAAGTGGGAAATTCTTATTCCTTAAAGAATTCATTATTAATTGTTAACTAATTAGCTTGAGCGAAACAGAGAGAAGGGGAGAGCAACAGACTGATGGAAAGAGCTTTCATGCACTGGCTCATTCCGCAAATGTCCACGACTGCCAGGGCTGCGCTGAGCTGAAGATTGGAGCTGGGAGCCCTACCTGGCTCCCCTGCATGGGGGAGAGGGATTCAGGACAGGATGCAGGTACTTGAGCCATCACCTGATGCCTGCCAGGGTACAGGTGCCCCAACTGGTGTCTTAACCACTAGGCCAAATGCTTGTCGCCTATGCCCCCAATTCCAGTTTTTGATACAAGGAAGAGTTTCCAGATTAATTGTATTATTATATAAGTATTAAAGTATATTCTCTCTCTCTCTTTTTCACATACACACACACGCACACACACACAGAGGCACTTAAAAAAGTCCATAGAAAATGGAATTAAAAGATAATGACCATTATCTACAATCCTCTCGAAGTACCCTCTTATAGACATGGGTGTGTCTATGGGAACATGGACCAGGTACCCATGGAAAGTACACAGAATCCGTGAAAAGAGCCAGTCCTGGGGAAAGGGAAATGGGACGACTGTCTCCACATAAGGGATGGAGACGCTGACTGGTGCCACCAGCACACGCTGCTCGTGGGAGGGAGCGAAGGCAGAGAGTGTGACTTCATCCGAGGCAGCCTTACCAGACGGCCACGCAGACTTCGTGTGCCTTCTCACAGATGGACGTGATGCTGCAGTTGCTCATGCAGGACTTCTGGTTGTCACAGGTGGAAGATCGCACATCGCAAAACTTGCACAGTTGTGGGAACTTGACGGCGCCATTGTTGTCCGTGACCATCATGTCATTATTAACTGAGGGAAGAGAAAGACACAATCATTAGTCAACTGCCAGGCGGGCTGCCAAAGAATTCCTGAAGATGTTATGCAATTTCGAGTGAACTTAACGTCATGAGAATGAATACACAGAGAGGCAAAATGACCCCTTTCTATCAGACTAGAATGCCCTCATGTATGCGGCTTTTAATAAAAGCCATTGTACGGTGACCACGCGGGGAGAGGGTGTTTGCACAGCTTTTGCTTTTACCAGTGACCAGCATGAGACTTTGTTCTATAAAAAGCCTATCATTCAATAACAAAACACGGCTTGGTCCACTACACAGCACTGGGCACTTGGAGCACAAACGAAAGGATTCTTAAGGAAACTGTAGGTTCGCGGGGTAGACAAGGAAACAGACCAGAGCAGGGTAACCCACAATAGAGGGCAGTGCAGAGGCTGTGGGGCCAGACCAGAGTCCCGGCCCAAAGACACAGAGAGGTCGCCACCGAGCTGTTGCGCAGGTCACGTGGGAGTGAGCCGACCCACAGGAAAGGGTCTGGGGGGGAGTCACGAGACTATGCTATCAGCCAGCAATTTCCTGACCTGTGCCCAGAAGGACCTCCTTTGCAAGGGGCTGGCTCTGTGAGGTCTGACTTATGTCTGTTTTCTTGGGGGAACTCAGTGGATGAACCAACACTCACTGAGGGCCTCCAGGCGCAGTTCCAGGCATTGGGAGGCACAGTAGGATGGCAAATCAAAACCGCCCTTCGTTCCCTTACTCCACACTTGCTTCCTCGGAGGACGCAGGGCCCATGCCAGAAATACTGAAGTCCATTCCTTCCTCAGCCCTTCCACTTGCTATTCCTTCTTAGTCATCTTTGTGGTCCCTGATTAACTACCAGTGTTTCCTCCTAAAGCCACCTGCAAGGTGCTACCACAGGACTCTTACTGTCCACGCAAAGTCTCTGCATCACGTGTTTGCTGAAAATCTATCCACCAAATGCAGCTCCATCAGACTTCACCTATCTTGTCTATACATTGTATCTCAGTGCCTAGAAGAGTGCCTAGAAGGTACCCCAAGACATGTGTCGAATGAATGAGCGCGCGAATGCACATCCCCAGGCCTACACAGAAGGAGTTGACATTTGCCCTTTTCTACCAAAGGAGACAAGAAATAACTTCACTTAGATAAGAGACGAACACAATCATAAACACAGCGCTCATTTATATTCATTCAATAGGATACTGAAGACAAAACACATGGATGCTATGAGGCCACAGACACATGTAACACCCCATTCCTATCACCACAATGAGATCTGTTTCCTTGGTGCCGGAGGTGAATGAAGTCATAATTTGGGGTGGGGGGGTAAAGTGAAGTAACACGAGGCTACCAGGCACTCAACAAACACACATGAATGAGCATGTATACTGTATGCCCGATTCAGAAAAGCAAACACATACACTGGATGTGGCACTAGATTAGCTGCTGGCCCGCAGGGAGGTAGGGGCACTTCTGCAAGGCATCCCCCTTGCTGAGGTCTCAGCCAGGCCTCCCGTGTTCTCCCTATGGGAGGCCACTCCTGCCCGGCGTGGAACAGGTGCCATCCACTTCCTCGGTTACTCTCCTGTGAATGTGAAATTTCCATCATTGATACTGCACCCTGCAGCCCTCTTTGTCATTTGGGCGTAGCACCTGTTTCCTGGGTCTCCAAAAATACAAACACGTATAAATTTAAGATTCGCTTTCTTGTGGTAACAGTAAATCTAGAAGGAAAAAATAAAGCCATTCATCCCTCTCAGGCCTCAAGTTCATTTCAGGAAGTATATTTTTAGGTAAGAAACTATTTTGAAATCCTCAATGTCTCCCAGGCCAAGAGTTCTATGCTTAGCTAAAAATACAGCTAGAAATGCTCTCTGAACTTTGTGTTAAATTTGGAACTAACACAACAATGAATATATATTTTTTTCTACACTGGTTATATTTGGATTTATTTATGAAACAACTAATTTAACCCTTGAGATATTCCTATAACACACGGTCAAACAAACAACAAAAAAGTGAGGCCATGGTTTGCTTACTTATTTTGTTTTTGTTTTTGAGCACAGAGAACGTTTTGGACAAATATCTGTTTGCTGATTGGATAGCTTTGCTGTTTTAGTTACGAAGTCGAACCTCCATGACTTGGAATTGAGGCATCCAGCATTTTGGGGTTTTGGGCTTAGATGAGAGGTTATCAGCCTCCAGAGCAGCCGTCCTCTGGGCCACTCTGCAAAATAATGAAGCCTGGGTCCCACTCCCAGATATGCTGACTTAATCACCCTGGACACAGATGGGCACCAGGGGAGGACGAAGCTTCCCCGGGTGACTGTAACGTTCACACACAAGGTTAAGAACCTGACCCAGAGTTAGTTACAGAAACAACAAGAACAACAAAAACCACAGGGGCGGGCATTTGGCATAGTGGTTAAGACACCTGCGCCCCATATCAGATGTGCCCGGGTTCAGGTCCCAGCACCCTGCAAATACACACCCTGGGAGGCAGCAGCTGATGGCTCAACTACTTGGGTTTTTACCGGCCACATCAGAGACCTAGACTGAGTTCTAGGCTCACAACACTGGCCTGACACTGCTTTGGCTGCTGTGGACATTCAGGGAACGAACCAGTAGATGACAGATTTCTCTCTGTCTGTCTCCCTGCATCTCAAGGTAGAGTGAACAACGTTTTAAAGCACAAAGAGGCACGAAACAAAGTGGCAGCCTTCCTCCCCACGCTGCCCATTCAGGCACAGTACAACCTATTTACTGGTGAAGATGTAGCTTTCCAAGAAGCTCCCTCGTGAGCAACGCACACCAGAACACCTGTGAGATAAGATGGAGAGCAACCCTTCGCTTTCCAGCAAAAGCCGCCAGTGTGAGAAGTGACAGGAGGCAGGAGTGATGAGACAGAATGAAAACAGGAGACGGTGCTGGGAGCAGCAGAGGTAGCCATGAACCTGTAGATAGTGTCGGTTTAGATCTGATGCTTGCAAACACAATCAAGGAGAAAGAGACAAAGAGGGGCCACTGGGAGAAGGGGGAGGGCAGGGGGAGGGGAGGGGAGGAGGAGGGGGAGAAGGGAGGGGGAGGGGAGGAGGAGGGGGGGAAGGGAGGGGAGTAGGAGGGGGAGAAGGGAGGAGGAGGGCAGGGGGAGGGGTGGGAGGAGGAGGGAGAGAAGGGAGGGGGAGGGGAGTAGGAGGGGGAGAAGGGAGGGGGAGGGCAGGGGGAAGGGAGGGGGAGGCGGAGGGAGCTGGCCATCCTCAGGGAATGTGCTACCCTAGCAGGCAAATCATTTGTACTTCTCCCGAAAGAGGCTCCAGCGACCACGTCTCACCTGCCAATCATTCCCTAAAGGAGGACACCACGGGCAGCAGCTGCTGGCATATGACAGGATCACATGGCCCCTATCACACTTCCCTTCTCCCCCAGCCCATGAGTAACAGCAAGGCCTTCACTCCAAGTCATACGGCCTTCCTCATTCCAGCTCACGTGTTCCGCAAACTCTTTGTCCACAGATGCAGGTTCCAGGTCTTGAGGGGATGAATTAAGTAAGTGCTGAACTGTGTCTATGTTTGCAACGGTCTCAGAGGGTCAGAGATGAGTAGCCTGAGAAGGTTCAGACTTGATCAAGATGAACACCAGGAATTTTGGGTATGGCTTCTTAGTCTGAAAGGGTGTCTACTACTAGTAGAATCACTAGTAAAATGTTCTCAAACACCTGGCCAGAAAAGGATTCATGTATCTGAATTCATGCATCCGTCTACTGCTGTTTTGTGGCATAACTGGGAAAGGCACTGAAGAATTTATTTATTCCACAGACATCTTGCTTTGTGCTCTCCATTTCATAGCAGGACCACTGACATGGACACAATTAAGTGTAGCATCGCAAAGAATAATCCATGGCAACTGGTGATGGGACCCACTGAGCCAAGACAGGGCAACTCAACTATTAGCCACACAAACCCTCAGGAATATCTTCAACCTGCCAGTGCAGGCTCGTGTGCTGCCTCCCACAGCTGTGGGAGTGGCAAAAGTCTGAAACGCACAGGGCAGGCTGCCACCCAGGCAGGAATCAATGCTAGTTTTAACGCGAAATTTCTCACCTGGGAAATCTGAGTTCTTGCTCTCATAGGCTTCCAATTGATTAGGTGAGACCCCACCACACACATACACACATAAATGAGGGTAACCACCTTAACTGACTGCAGCTGTGTCGTCATCCACGGAACACCCTCGCAGCAACACCAAGATCAGTGTCTGATTAGACAACCAGCAGCTACAAGCCCGCCAAGTACACCTGAAACTGACCACCACCGGCAGGAAGTGGACGCTGCTCCCAGGTGCTGCTGGTCTACCCTCGCTGCACCAGAACCCAGACTTGGACCATCGCTGCCCTGCCACTGCTGATTTTGAATCTAACACAATACCATGCCCATTCCTTTCTACAGGGCTTTCTCTTCTTACAGTCCTTTCCATCTGCTCTGCTTTTGAGCCTGGCCTCTTACATGATCGCAGGCCCAGGGGCACTGATCACCATATGGGCCTGCGACTGAAAGACTTGTTCTCTGAAAGGAGGTTTTTAATTGCATTTGGCATTTCAGAGTCAGACACAGAGGCAACCATCTGGCAGACAGCCGCCGTGGTCTGTGCCGCTGGCAACCAGCACCCCCCGCCCCAGCTCTCCAGAGCAGGTGGGACAAGTGTACTGGCCCGTGGCACAGGCACACGTCCTCCACCAGGAACAAAGAAGTCAGGCAGTCCAGGAGAATTCCTGTAGGACTCCCCATGGGAGAAAGACGTGCCTACGCCAGCCTAATACTTTGGCCAATTATGATAACCATCCAAACAAACAGTGATGTTTACTTGGCTGTTTATTTGAAAGGGGGAGAGGGGAGGAGAGAGAGAAAGAAAGAGAGAGAGAAACATCTCCCATCTGCTAATTCACTCCTCAGATACCCAGAACAGCCAGGACTGGGGCAGGCCAAAGCTAGGAGC